TAATTGTCTATATGATTTATTATACATCGGAGCATAACTTTCATCTGGATCTATTGATTCTTGTTTAGAGGTTCCTACGGGATTCGGTCATCCTCCAGTATTCATTAAGATTTGGTATTCATCATCTATACTTTCTAAACTTAAACGATCAAAATTATCTATAAGTAGATTTAATTCTTCATTTATTTTCTTTAATTTTTTGTTTACTTCACATTTTTTCTCTAGATTCCTCTTCTTCTAATATTTTAGGTAATATATTTTTTCTAAACTCATCATCCATGCTTCCTGTTTCTATTATTATATTTTCTCTTTCGATATTTTTTTCCCTATTCAGGTTATTTCTTTTTCTATAAATTTTTTTATCTATTCTATTATTCTTTTCTTCATTTTCTTTTAATTTTCTAACTTTAAGTTTCAATATATTTATATCATTTCTTGCTTCTTTTATTTCATTCTTTATTTCTTGTACATCATTTATTAATATTCTTATTAAATATTTTAATTCTTGCATATGTTCACTGATTAACATTTTCTTTTATCGATTTTTTTATTGACAATAATAAAATACTATATACTCAGTATTTTTACAATCTCTTATCATTTTATCATACTTTTGTTTTATAATTTCAATATTTGTTAGTTCTTTTAATTTTTCATAATACCTTGCTTTTTCTTTATACCTTTCTTGTTTTAATTTTAATATTTGTTTTTCTTGAGTTCTAGTTATATCTCCAGATATTAATAATTCATCTAAAATTTTATTATCTATTAATCTTACTCTTCTTAACATTCTTTCTAAAATATTTTTAGTTTCTCCCATTATATTTTTATGATGATTCAAATATTTCTCTACGGTATAATTCATTTTCAAATACTTCGATAATTATTTTTTATGTACGTCTATCTTTGATAAATCCTACAATTAATTTATGTAATATTTGTTCCTTTATTTCTCTAAGTAAATTCCTAGTTACATATAATGTTATTATTTTTAATTTATTAGGGATAGGGTTGAAAAATATATAACATCCTTTTTCTTCAATACATTGATAATAATTATTTATTTTTATGATTTCCATAATAAATTTTTTTTTTCAGATTACTATGAAATCTATTTCACTCTGGATTTCTTCTAATATATATATATATATGCTTATATTTTTCAAATAATATCTTTTTAATTATTTTTTCTTTTAGTTCTAAAGGTAGATTTTTAATTACTCTAAAAGTTTCTAATACTTCTTTTATGTCTTTACTATATGTTCCAGCTATATTATCTTCTTCTATATAGCCTTCTATATTAGAACTATATTTTACCTGATACCTTAGTCTATTTTTATAAGTTTCAATAATTTCTAAAATCATAAACTTTTGAGTCTTTCTTTATCTTTTATTTATTTTCAATATTTTTTAGGTAATTTATTTTTATATATTTTCTCACGATCTCTCTGGCTCTGATACCAACGGGATGGATGCTATTATGAGCAAACAAAAATTTAATAATAAAAAATATAATAATCTAATATTCTAAAAATTCTTTTATTTTTGTTTTAGTTAATCTATTTGTTATTAAGCGTATATAAAATCTTAAGGTACGGTTAAAAACTAATTTTTTGTATGCTTGTGGTAATCTATTTTTTATTGGTCTTCTCATAAATTTTTAAGTAATTCTTCAAAATCTAATAATGTCTGAGAATTTATAATATCAACATCTGTTATCAGATATATGTCTGTTTTAAAAGATATATCGTATTTTAAGATATTTTTCTTCCTTTTTTCTAATTTATCTATGATATCTTGTATATCTTTTATGATTATTGATCTTACAATTCCTTTATCAAAATTTTCTAATAAGTTTTTTTTGAAACACTTTAATATTTCTTGTGATGCATATGATTGTTCTTGATATCCTATCTTATCAATTTCTTTTTCAAACTTAATTTCTTTTTTTTATTTTTAACAACCTTTTTTTATATTATATGGTCCTCTCTTATCTTTGGATTTTTTCATTTTATAATTATTCATTAATAATTCTTTCAAATTTTTAGAAAAATTACTTGTTAATTTTTTAAGGACTTAGAAAGAAGATTTTTATTATAGAATATGTTGTTTTTAATATTTGTTTAAGGGTATTTTAGATAGTTCCAAATGTTTGGAAAAGTCAAAGGCCATTTTAGGTCAATTTAATGTATTTCCCATTGATGGCACAAATCAAGATGACTTTTTCTGGAATGAGCTAACTCGTGTCCCCTAGCTCCCAAAGTGACCACAAGTCAGCTTAGATAGTAGGACGAGCCGACCCTGAAGGTGAGTCGGCCAAGTCGACTTAATCATTAACATCTCTAGATTGATCGAATTGAGCTTGATCAGTTTCCTTTTAATTTTTCAGCAAGTTCATTCTAGTCGTGGTCATGTGACCAATTTTCACACTAGTCTACTAAAAATGTAATATACAGTGATCAAACAATGAGAAAATTACTATACTTAGTCCTTGTTTAGTAGTGATAGAAATCTAAATTATTATTAAGCAAGTCAAAGTCAATAATTAATCTTAAACACATATTTCATAAGGCATACAACTTTTCAATCACAAATTTCATCAACTTTTATTAAAATATGTTAAAAATTGATATTAATACCTACCAAACGAGGGGCTTAATGAGTAGTCAATTAAATCTTGCCGGGTACCCTCCCTAATCAACAATAATCATAATTCATACTATTAAAGTTAAAATAATGCAACACGTACATAATTATTTATAGATTGATGTACGAGAGAGAGAGAGAGAGAGAGAGAGAAGAAAATCAGTTAAATTTTAATATAAATGTTATGTCATCAATCTATAAATAATTATATACACGTAGCGTTACTCTTAACTTTATATAGCTTTGCAAGATAAATTTAGTGATTTGACATTATACCCCCAAATATTATTAAGCACACGTTAGAGCCTCCAAAATTTTGCTTTTTAACCCAAATATCCATATTGTCCATTATTATTTTGTTTTTGTTTTTGTTTTTGTTTTTTTTTCAAATTTCACCCTTACTCGGCCTTCTAGGAGCAATTTGAACTCAGGTCAATAACTCAATAAAGTCCATGTTTGGCCCTCATTCTTTTTTCTTTCTCTTATTTTCAATCATATAATCTTTTATAAAATAATATTACATACAAATAAAAAAGCTTTCATTCTTTTTTTAACCACAGATTTAAAAAAAAATACTATTTCAACTATTAAAATTTGGAAATAATGGGGCCAAACGAGGACAAAATTACACTCTTTCTGCTTTAGTTAGACATTGATTTTATCTTACCAACATTTTTGGTCGCAGTTAGCAACTTGCAGGGAATGATAATGGGTTAGTGCAGGGTCTAGCAACCGTTAGGTCCATTACCATCTCGACCCATCATTTTTTTGAAAGCCAAGGTAGAAATGAAGATATAGCAAGATGGGACGACGATTTGAAAAATCTCATTATTACCCGTTTAATTAATCAATCAATTAATATTATTTCTAATTTTTTCAAATAAGAGTTCGTTTGATTATAAAGATGGAATGGAATTGAATTGAATTGAATTGAAAACGAATTCTAGGGAATTGAATTCCCTAAAAATTATTTTCGTGGGAATTGTAAATTATTGTGTTTGACTGATATAATTTTTCATGTGAAAAATGTTAAAATAAAAGTACTTTTTAATGTTCGTTTAAATTTGTTTTACATGAAAATTGTCACTTAAAGGAATAGATTTTACTAGTATTGGAAATGAAATTTGTTTCCACTGCCAACAAAAAAAAGTCAAGAAAATCATCTATCTTTTGATATTCATTTGACTTTATTTTATATGGAAATTGTCAATTAAAGTGAAATATTTTTTTACAATAATTCTTAGAATTTGTTTTCATTAAAAAAAAAATCGTGTACAGTGCCTCGAAAATCAATTCTCACCTTCTCACAAAACCATGAAAAATACAATTTCTAAAAAAAGCAAGAATCCAAATTTCATGAAAAAAATAGGGTATCGGACACTGCAAAATGGGTGGAAAATAAAATTTGCATGGAATTAGCCACTATTAAACATGGCCTTAAATTCAAATTGAGAAATATAAAAATATAAAAATAAAATAAAAAGATTCAAGGAAGAATTAGCCACTATTAAACATGGCCTTAAATTCAAATTGAGAAATATAAAAATATAATAATAAAATAAAAAGATTCAAGGAAGAATTATGTTCCCCGTCCCATTTTATCATTCGGAGACGAAACAACGTGAGGTGGGTCAAAAGCAGGGAATTTTTCCATTTCTTGGTGACGCACTTCTCTAATTTTTAGAAAGGGGCAAAGTGAAAAGTTATTGAAGTCTGATACACGCTTCAACGACCGATCGATTTTGCTCATTGAGAGCTAAATTTGGCTGCGAATTTGTTCCATGATGCATTTGATTCTCTAAAATGATTTGATTTTCATTCTAATTTGAATTATATTGATGTCAACCCCAAATATAACCCTATCGATCGCTTCAACTCAGAACATCACAGATCCCTCATTACGGAGAGATTCCCACACAATTTCCAAATGGTACAATTCAGGAAGCACGGGGTGCACCGGATTCTGGCGCGACGCAGCTCTTGTTGTACCCTCAGTGTTGTTCGTGCTGTACCTAGGGTTTCAAGCTAGGCGATATCTGAAGAAGCTGAGCCACCGCAGGTCTTATGTAATGATTTCGTACTATGCGCTTATCTGGTTCAGCGTTCTTCTCAACCTCGCCTGGTCATTTCTTCAGGTACTCTACGAAAAATTTGATATTTTTACTCCCCTACCTGGTAAATCGGCTGCAAAAAAATCTTTACTGCGTCGTCATTTTCTCGAATTAAAGATCGTTATTATTCATTCAGCTGCATTTGATCAGGAAATTGAATAATGTAATATGAGTTTGAATGCTTAGACTTTTTGGAATTTACCGTTCTGAGTTGGTAATATACAGACTTTTAGCAGCGTTTTTCCTGCAATTTTAGCTGTATTTTAATAAGTAATGGTTTGCAGAGACTTAATTACCCTTCACATATATTAAAAATTTTATGGGCTAGGTTCATATCTTGATTACTGGCTAATTTGGGTATAATTGTTATTGGATTTTCTTCTACACTGAATTACATGACCATTTGGCTGAGTTTGGTTGGATTATACAAATTACTTGTGATTGTTTGGACAAAGACTGTATTCTTCTCGCACATAAAGTAGTTATGGGATTTGACTAATGTCAGTTTCGTTGTACTAATCTTTCTCATGCTTAGAAGTCTAAAAAGGTGATCTAATCAAGATCTTTAACTAAACAGGGGTGGAAATTGAATGAAATTTCTAGTCACAAGTCCCAAATGCCATGTAGGTTTGCACATTAGTTGAATGTCATTAAAATAGACAAGATATTTTAGAGTGACAGCGTTCATAGTTTTACTCAATGAAACAAATGGATAAGAGCAACTCCAAGAGCCTCTTTAAAAGTGGAATACTTTATATTTTAAAGAGTCAATCTTTAAAATTTCACTCCAATAGGCTCTTCACTTTAACATTTTAAAATAGAGAGTGGGTTTCTTTAAAATTTTACTCCAATAGGCTTTTCAATTGAACATTTTAAAATAGAGAGTGGAATTTGGAGAGCCTGTCTATAATTTAATGCTTCAAAGGTTCCAACTTCCAATGCACAGTTTTTTGACTTAATTAAATAATATGTGCAAATCTCAATATCTCTAAATTGAATCATTGCAAGGCTATTGGAGCACTTTAAAATTAAATGTTAAAAACAATAAATGCATATTGGGAATGCTAAAATTAAATTTTAAAAATAAAGAGGCTATTGGAGCACTTCAAAATTTTTGCTTTTTAAATTTATAGATGCTCTTTAAATTGTAAAATATGCTCTTTAAAATAGAGAGCCTCTTGGAGATGCTCTAATGGATAACAAAATAAAACACAGGAAGTTACCCTGGATGGACGAGTGACAGAGGTTATATAGTTTGTGATGTTTCTAGTTTAAAGCTTCATCATGTTAGTCTTAGTCCTTATTATCTATGCCAAGCATTATGTAATCATTCGGTGTAGTCATTTTTCCAAGAGATCTATACTTGGCTCTTGAACATGCATTATTTTTCCTGCATTTATTCCCGTGTTCCATCAAAATTTGTGTCCGATCTGATAGAAGAAGCTTTCTAGATTCAAGAACTTGCAAAAACATATCAACATCTTTCAATGTTAAATGAAGTGATTTTTATAATTTTACTGAATTGGAGATTCCAGGTTATCTAGTTTAGGATGGTATTTGACTTTTACCTGGAAAACAGGAATGGCAGTGTGCTCCAGGGAAGGAGATTGCATGGAACTTATTGTCATTATTCACGGAAAGTGGAATGCTATTCTTAGAAATTAGCTTAGTGGCCTTCTTGCTCCAAGATAGTTATGCTAGTGGATTGGAAGCTCTGGCACGTACTTTCATATTTTCAGGTGTCTTTGTGGCTGTCGATATACTTCTCCAGGTAATATCTGTTCGCTTTCCGTAGCATAAATGATGGAGATCAAGATAGGAATAAAAATATAGAGTTATAGTTTAAATAGAAGTTTTAAATTGAGTTTAATTCTGATTAGATTAGATAAGATTTGTTTTGATATTTTGATATTATTAGGAGTTTGTTTCCTTTTTAACTTCTTTTAGTTTATTATCCTAAAAATAGAAGGTCTTATTCATTGTAATTCACAACCCCGATTATATGAATAAAGATTGATTTTTCCTCTTGCCTTCAATTATTCTCTTCTTAGACCTCCTTTCTTTTTTAATCTTCGATTATTCTTTAACAAGTTATTCGCATCCTGCATCAATTTGGTATTAGAGCAATTCTTTTTCCTTTGGCCTAACATCCTTCATTCTCAAATTCAAAAAAATAATAAAAATAAAAATCCACCAACCATTTCCTTATTTCTAGCCCATAACTCAACCGCAACACCATCATCCATCTAAACCATACAACTACCTTCATATACAAAAAATTTTGAACAACACAAAAGACGAGAATTCTATTTACAGCAGCGGGCACAGTTTTTTTATTCCCCAATTTCCATCTTGCTTTTAGTATTAAAAAAAAAAAAGAAAAAGAAAAAAGAAACAGTAGCATTTAATTCCTTTACCATGTACTTACCATTTTCACTTACCAAAAAAAGTAATTAAAAATTTTTAAAAAAAATGTTCCACTGTGATACTCAAAAAATGTCCAAGTACCTTCTACTTCCCAATATCAGTACAATTACCTCTCATCTGGCAACTATGTTAACCCCGTCCATTATGCTTTTAGGCATATTCCATTACAACTATGGGATTTTGATTGTCGGACCAGTCCGAAAGCATTTCTGGGTTAGATCGATAATCTTGAAAAATTCTTCAACTATCACAATCTGAGTGACTCGCTTCGAATTGTCTATGCTAATTGGTCACTTGTCAGTTCCACTCGAAGTTATTCGAAGTTCTTTTTACGTATTCGTCTAAGTCAACCATTAATTACTTTGTAGGATGAAATGAAACAAATTCTAGGCAATAAACATGCCCCATGTGTATCATCGAACCCAAATGTTAAATCAAGTCTTCTTACACTGTAAGTAAGGTACATCCACTGTTAGTGAATATCTAGCCAACTTCGAAGACTTATTGCTCATTTCTTTTATTTATGAGGCTCCCCACATCAGAACATCTAGATTTATCGACGGTATGAATCCTGAAATTTTGCCAGCCAACATCCCTAGACCTCGATCATTAGATGAAGCATATCGTCTGGCCAATAATTGGTACATATTTTTTTGACTTAAATCAATTATGTACAAAACTAGACACATCACTCGAAACAATTTCTAAGTCTAGTTGTGTTCATCCCAAGAAGACAATGAGGTTTTTATTGTTGAACAAATTGACTTTCCTGTAGGAGTTGACACTTTTTCCCAGAATCGGTGGAACGGCCGGTTCGGTTCTAGATCTTCTAAAAAATAATTTGATTTTAGGACAAATTTTTAAGAACCGACCGGTTCCGGTCCAATTCCCGGTTCTAGTATGGGAACCGCAGGAACCAGACGGTTCTCATTGGATTTTTTTCTTTTTTTGTTAAAATATATAATTCAATTTTCAACACTTTTATAAAAAAATAATCGGGTTATTTCTTAATTTTAGACTCGAGCACTTTGCTTCTTCTTTTTGATTATTTCCTTGTCTCTTATAATTCTTTGATTAATTGATTCTCAAGCCAAATTAGAATATTGGGTAAATCTATACCTCAATAAATTTATTTACAATATGTAATTTCATTTATAAGATACGAAATTTTTATTTTGTTTTCACTTTGATTATATGATTATTATTTTGTTTTCACTTTTTAAACTATACCTAAATAAATCTTTGAATAGTATGTTCGGTTCTTCTATATTTCGTTAAAAGTATCACGTTGTTAGCATTTTTAGAGTTTTTATTAGTAGACATTTTATTTTGATATTTTCAATGTAAAGAACCGGACCGGACCGAATCGGAACCGATTTGCTAGATTCTGGCAATGGTTCCATTTCTAAAATTCCCATTGTTATTCGGTTCGGTTTCCTTTGGAATCGGACCAAACCGGATTGTGCCCACTCCTACTTTTCTGACAATGAGGATGAGAGTTTTGAGACTTGTCTCATACCGCATCTCACACTAATTTTGTACATAATCGATCATAGCACAGTTGATGAGTTATCATTAGTTTTGACACTTCAGCCAAACAGTTTGCCTACTCCTAAATGCGCTTTAAAAGTAGAGTTTGTTGTTACATTACCTCAAATGATCGATGCTCCTCGAGTTGCAAAGATTATTTCTAAGGCAATTATTCTCTTGCACGCTTTTCATGTTGACATTGGGTGGTTGCCTACTAATTGCAGACATATGACATAAGTTTATCATTTTGCTATCAATGTTCCTAAATTTTATGTCAAATTAAAACGACAAATTATTTTCAATCATAAAATTTTTAAGCTTACTTTTGATACACAGTATAAGTGTGGAGTCCCTAATGATATTTATTACGCTTTATTGTGTGTTTCATTCATTTGGTTTCCTAAACACGTGAAGAAAAAAGATTTTTGGTCATGCACATAAAGAAAACGTTATTAACTGGCCATTACACTTAAATGAAAGTTACATTTTCAATGTGGAAGAATTGTTTCATTATTATGGCATATTCGAGCCTTCGATGTTGCAATCATTTTTCTTATAGGCTTGTATATGGTGCTAGTTCTTTTTGCTCCTCTTTATGCATAACCAGCTGAAAATTTTGTGGATGAGTTGCATAAATTTGTTCATTTCGAAGTTTCATGTTGTAATTTGGTCAAAAAGAGAGATTGTCCCACTTTGTTGGATCATATTTTTGGTGATGATTTACAGATTCAGTTGATGTCACATGATCAGTTCAGATACTTGGTTTTTAGGAAAGATTGCCTTCCTTGGTATGCGTTTAGCAAGATGATGTTATTTAAAATTCAATTCAAACACTTGATCAAGACAAAAGATCGACCTCCTACGCTACGAAGTTCCCGTCTAACTCGTCATAGTTGAGTTCTCTCAGCCACGGAGAAATGATAGAGATAAAGATAGGAACAAAAAAATAGAGTTATAGTTTAAATTGAGTTTAATTCTGATTAGATTAGATAAGATTTGTTTTGATAACTCTATATTTTTATTCCTATCTTGATCTCCATCAATAAATACAGTAACTCGTTATCATATGTACTGCTAGGACATTCATTGACTTGCTGTCCCAGTGTGAAACCTGTTTTTTGGTCATTTTTTGATATTCTTGTCTCTTGCATGACCTTTCGCCCCATGTGTTCTTACCCCATCTTTGCAGTGATAAACAGCTCGTACTGATGCCTGTATGATTCCAGTAGCTTAGAATAATGATGCATTCATTCTTGAATTGAAGCTCAGGACGTGAATTACTGTACGTGTCATTTCAGTGGTGGTCATGATTTTCCAATGATGCTTACCTTGATAAAATTTTGCGTCATTTCTGTAAATATTATTCAAATATTTAATACTGTTATCATTCCGTAGCAACGACAGTAAATTAGTTTGTTTATACTCGAAAATGTATATCTAGAAATGAAGTCTCTGATCCTTCCATTGTACACTCCATTTCAAAAGCCCCCTGATTCTTTTGTTACAAATATTTCAAATGATGATGCACTTCTTCACACAAAATAAAATCGCAGATTATTATCATGTGAGATCATTTCCTTTCACAGGCAATATTCATATTTGGATTTGGGGTTCCACTCTTTATTGATGGTGAGACGACACATCGGGGAAAGTGGGGTGTATGGTTCACTCATACCCTAGTGCTTGCAGCAGCCTATGGCTATATTGCATTCGTGCACTATTCAAAATGGAGAGATAAGTTGCCACGTGAGTTTTAATTTTAACTTTTTCCTTAGTCGAGTCTCTTTTTTGCTCCTTTCCCCCAACTAACCTGACTCCCAACTGTGTGCTGGGGCAAACTTTCAGCAAGACCAGCATTCTACAACTATGTCATCCTCATGTTTATAGTCAATGTAACTACATTGTTTGCCTGTGGGCTTGCCGGAATTGGAGCTGGCTTCGGACTTTGGTACTCTGATTTTTTTACGCAACCAGGTACTATCACCAGATTTGTTATCTACACCAACTGATATAAAATGGTTGTCTTCCTCTCTGCAGGTCGTACAATTTTATAGTGATAGTTCGTCACTCCCTCTATCTTCCATTTCTGTACATAATTTTTCTTGCTGACTTTTTCCAGGTAATTATTTTATATAGTAATTCAATTGAGATATTCTCACATACCCATATAAGGTTTAACTTAATTTATGTGCTTTCTATGGCTATATTTTCAGGAGGAAGATTGGCTGTTGGATAATGCTTATTACTCGGAGATGAAAGATGCAGGGTTTTTCGATACTGACTGGGATTAGCCTATGGAAATAATTTGTATGGGATCAAAATATTTCAGCTGGACGGACTTGTAAATGAATTCCGTGTAAATTTCTGCAATATTTACCTTGCGTTAAAACAATGAGCGTGGTGCACATTTGTACTACCACGAGCAAAACAAAAATCCGAAACAAGTTGTGGCACAAACCAATCATTAAGTCGATCTTGATTCATGATTGACAATTCATCGTTATACCTTCGTTGACTTGTTTTTGGTGGGAACGCCAACAAAATGAACTTTACTGGGAAATATCGTTGCTAATCATTGATGAAAGAAATAATAGAATACAATTTACGTATGTAAAGTCACCATGCGCTAACTACAAAGTTCTTTCAACAAATATGTGAATTAGATAGGATTGGCCAACAAAATATAGAATCCATTAGAAGGGCTTTTGGAAAGTTAAAAATTGTTTTAGAGAATAAGAAGTTGCTTTTAAATATCTTTAGATAATTTTTTAGAAATGTTTTGTCTTGTTAGAAGATGATAATTTCTTAGAATTGTTTTGTCTGGTTAGAAGAGTTTTTTTTTTTTTTAAATAATACGAACTAAAATAATTTAGCCAGGGAGCTCTTTTTTATTATTTCTTTCCATCATAACCTTAATAGCAGGTTGGTTACAACTACAACCGAAATAAAAACCGAGCGTTAGTAGTGAAGCTCTTCTGAAATAAGCTAAAATATTGCTAAACGAGTGCTTATTCATGATTTAATTTTTGTGATAAACAACAAATTAGCAAAGGGAAGAAGAAACTATTCAACTTGTTAACCTCCTTGCACATGTCAAACAAGATATTTACCGAAATCTCGTAGCAGATAACTTATATAAAAGAGAACGATTCTCAATAGTTTCATAGTCACAAACAAGAATGTACTTGTTATAATTTTTATTGAAAAACAACTATAAACTTGTCATTCAACTAGATAAAACCAATATGTGAAATATAGTAGAACTTTCTCAAAAATTTCTTCTATCATCTCCCGTGCATTTAGCGGTGACAAATGAGTCAATCGGCTCAGACGGCTTGTGGCTTAACTCGGAAAAAAATCTGAGTCGGCCCGACTTTGAACTCGTTTGTACAAGCCAAGGCTCAAGCCAAGTCTCAAAAATGAGATTTGGCCTGAGATCGAGTCATCCCATGAGCCGCACAAGCCCAAATAATGGTCAGCCCACTTTTTAAATTAAAATTGTAGTTTATAATTGTTTTTTGTGTATTCGAGTAAAAAAAAATTGAAAACCCCATGAGTCGACTCGGCTTGACGAAGGTTTGAAGCTTTGAGACAAGCTTGAGCTCAACTCGAGCCTTTTCTTTGGAGAGCCGATATCAACCTCGAACTGGGCTCGTGGCCCACTCGACTAGTTGACATCACTACATGCATTAGAAGTTGAAGTAGAAGCCTCAACTTTCACATCCTCTTAAATCTCTCATTCCTCTCATTCACGCCTTTCCTCTTTGCAAGGCTGCTCTGTCCCCTCGGACCTCATTTTAGAGGACACCCTTAAAAGTTTTCCCTTTCCCTATGCTTTTGTACTAGGGCTTCTCTTTCTTACTTGCGGGCATGGCTGCAAGTGATGATCAGGAAATAGGCAAAGGTAACTTTCAAGGGTGCTTTGACCCTTGATAAGTGCATGGATAAATTTTAACAAACAAATAATGACTAGCGCTCCCTGAATGGAATTCATCTCCTTCTTTTGGTAGAAACATATCTAACTAGACGATATAGGATTTGAAGAGCTAAGGTGCTTTCATCAAATGATGCATGTGTGCTTAGCTACTCCCATACCAAGGGGCGGCCCTGATTTGGCACAGGAAACTAAGGCCAGGGATTTAAATAAGATAGTATTTGAAACGTGGATCTCAGATCTTGGTTCGTTTTCTCGAATTTTCATGACTCGGTGAATACAGATTGATAACATCAGTGATAGTCTTGCCTATTGTCCTGATCAAAAGAAAATATGATGAAAATAATGCTAGAAAAAGTCTATGAGTACAAGAAAGGTTGGACAGAAATGTTACAGGGTTTCAAAATGAAATGACGTGGCAGAGTTTAAAAAAAAAGGAAATGAAAATACCCTTTTTTCTACACACAAAGACCGGGAATGGAAAGCCTTTCACACCATTTTTCCCAAATTTCGTCTGGAGCCACCGAAAACCTATCCATCTCCGGCCAAAATCCAATTAAACTGCAGGCATGCAACTCCGACCAGTTTGTAAACAGCAGAGCCAAACATTACCCAGATGGTTTGAGGCGTTTTCCCATTTCCCCCAAATCCGACGTCTCTTCCATTTCCCCCAAATCATCCACGGAAATTTCTTCCCCATTTCTTCCAAATCACCCACGAAATTTCCTCTCCATTCACTTAGAACGCTGTTCCTGTCGCTACGTGAAGCGTAGTCTGGCAGCGAACGTGAAAGTCGACGCCGCATTCAGCGAGAATATTCGAAGCCGCAGTCGCCCCCCGCCATTGCCACGGTAAGAAGTTTTGTTTCTGGTATTGTACATGGATTTCGACATAAAAATTTTTAGTTCGTCGGCTGAAAGTTTCAATTATGAAAATGCTACATGGATTTCAACATAAATTTTTTGAGTACGCTGTCTGTTATTGATTTCATTTTGGTTCTGAAAGTTTCACATTATGAATATGCTCGTAAGCTCACGTGGCTGGTAATGCCTAAACTGTATTTCTTTCCCCCTTCTGTTATTGATGTCAATCTTGTGGTAATGCGAATTTCTTTCCTAACCTTTCTCGTTACTCCTCCCTATAGTGCTTAAATTTTACATTGGTATTGTGTTAATGTTGGCAATTGAGATTGAATACAGTTTATTAGTTGATGTGGGATTTTGTTCTTGAGATGAATTCATCTTTGTTTACTTGTTTTTGCAGCCTGGATTGACTACAATGAGAGGAAGGAATTTAGGAGTTTGTCATAGTTGCAGAAGCAGTACTCACTACTTTGGAGAATGCCAAACAAAGCGCCGATGTCCTTCATGTAAACATGGATATCGAAAGTGTTTTGAGGTCGAACGGGATACTCAAAACAAAAGCCGATTGTTCTTCACTTGTAGTAACGATTGTGGATATTTTGACTGGGTGAACGAAGATCTTCTAGGCGGGGAGTCAAGTTCCATTAACGAAGCGGTGAATCATGAGTCGAATGTTGAAGATGAAGAGTTGCCAAGACTCTTTGACAGTCTAGCTCGAATTAGCGAGAAACGAGGCATGGACATATCAATGCACTTGAGTTTTAGCAAGGGAAAAGGCACACTGAAGTGCAATGGGAAAGGGAAGGGTTCAAGTTGAACAGTTTATTTGAAGTTGCTTTATGGATGTATATGTAAGCTGTAGGCTGTAGTTGAACTTGGTCGCTGTAGGCTGTAAGATGTATGGATAATCTTATCAAAATTTTTCGATCATTTTACATGATTCGTATTCGGTTTGTTGTAATCTTATCATAGTTGCTAGAACTTTATGGATAATCTTATCATGGTTGCTAGAACTTTATGATAGACTTCTTCTCGTTTTTGTTTGCAAACATCTCGGTTGAATTGTTTAACTTTATGGTAGTCTAGTGTGAGCATTCAACCTTCTTGAAGAGTCATACATTAACATTAGGACAGCTGAGACAAATCACAGAAACACCTCCAAATCACATAAAATAGAGTTAATATTTCTCTTCGTAGAATAAAAACGAGTTCATTTCTACACTGGAATTTGAGTGGCCAAGTGACCCATGGACAACCCCTTAAGCATTGAAAATATAAGTGGAATGGATGGCATTTTCAACCCAGATGTACATTCTGCACTAGATCTAAAGCCTGCCTGCCCATTGAATACAAAACTTTCCTTCAAATGTCGTACAGCAACAGCAGTTATCCCCTTCTCCAGTATAATATCCTTCAACCTCTCTCCAGGGCAAACTTCTGTTTGGCTGCGAACTGAGCAATTTTTTCATCCTTAGGATTATCTTCATACTGCTCTTGCAATATGTCAAATTCCCTCCAATTTTGCAAGTACGGATCAAAATGCTGGACGAGAGCATCCATGGCTGCAGATTCACCTTAAGTCAAGTATGGTAAAATTCTGGCGACCATCTCTATGTTCCTCTGCTGTTTACTTGACTTCTTAAGTCCTCAAGGGTGAGACCAATTGCTCTTGGTTGGACTTCAAATCATCTCCCAGGTGCTGTTTAATGAAATGCAGTATTAGAAAAAACAATTATAGCATGTTCGAAACTAGGAATGGTAAAGCATAATGGAATACAACCAGAAGTTTGGCGAGAGAAGTAAAAGAAAGTATATTAAAACAAACAAGTGGAGGTCTATCAAAATAATTTGCATACCTGAACCATGCTCAACAGAATTTCGAGTCCACCACATTCTCGGACAGCACCTGCTATTGCAAACTCAACCTCAGGTTCTTGGGTTTCCTCCCTATCCTCATCCAATTCTTTGATCATCGGCTCGATAGTTTCACCATCCAATCCCTACAATTTGGAGAACTTATCATTTGAATGCAAGAAAATGAAAAAAAAAAAAAATATATATATATATATATACATCCTCCCAACATCAGAGTAGACGCAGCAGTTACTTTGGAGTTTGGACAACATAATGTTTCCACAAAAGACGATCATAAGAAGGGAACACCCACATATAAACCGCATAACCTATTACATTATGACTGTAAAAGCAAACCTGAAGGCGGTAAGTTACAGTCATTGGAGGGAATTCTCTGGTAGATGTGAATGTATTAGTGGATGGGAATGCTGTCCCAGCTGATGTATTTGAAGATTGGCCACTTGATTTCTTCCAAACTTGCTCATAAACTTGAGCAATACTCAAATCGAGGGAGATTATATTTCCAGCAACTAGCAGTTCCATGCCATAGTCATCTTCAATTAGACCCAACATATCCGACTGGTGGCAAATCTTATTTTTGACATCACGCATGAGTGGACTGATCTCAGCACTTGAGTATAGATTCTTGGTCATTGATCTCAGCACTGATGCTTCATAATATTCTACTCGGAATTCTAACTAATGTCAATTTCAGTCTCCACTTTCTACACATCATTCCTAGAGCATGGTTTCTAAAATAAAACAGCAGAACCAACTAAACCTTATCATACCAGTTCTCGATTTTTGACCAATGGAATACCAAATTATTTCCTAATAATTTTTCATTTTTCACACAAGTATGTCATAGATAAAAAAAGATGGCAGTGACCTTGCCTGGATAATGTCATAGATAAAACAAAATTTCGGGTAGCAAGAACGCAACAATATGGCAGTAACCAACTGAAGCCTACAAATGCATAAATTGAGAAAAAACTTGAAGCATAAAAGCATTGTAAAAGTCTAGTAGAAGACACAACAGATAAAGGACATTGAATCCGACAAGCAACACATGAATTTAGTGTGACTTTTAACATAAACAAAGCATAATAGGAAGAACTGTGGAACTCGAGACCAAAACAAAGCCAATATTTTTCTTCATTCGATCAAAACTCGAGACCAAAACTCCGTTCGATCAAAAAGTTGCAATAATCTTTTCTTCCCCTCCACGGCCACCAGTCAAAAGAAACCTGTGGAACCTTCACTGGGCAAATGTTGAGAGTAGTTTGGCATGACATCACCTAAATGAAAAGATAAACAATTACAATGTCACAATATAAGAAATTATCATACATAAATACGTACGAAAACCGAGCAATATATTACCTTGAGCATTGATTATAACATTTGTTGGTGGCAACGTCTGACTAGCATTGTAAGCCTACATGGAAAAACACAATTTAAGCAACTTTGACCGTGTAGCGAACCTAAAACAATTTACTCACTAGTACGTTCTGTGACGATGATAAGGGTGACGACCTAGAACTCTGAGAAGGTTGAGATGCCTGGATAGTTGGTGTTGCCTCTTTTGTACAACGAGGCCTAGCTCTCGATTTTTTCCCCTTGTTTGACAATGAGGTCACCTGGATGTTGAGCAATAAAAATAATCATTTTGTGCACGCAAATTTCCATAAAAATAATTTCGAAAATTACCTTTTCCAATGGACCCTTCCGCCGGCGTTTCGTAGGTGTGCCCTTTCTGCTCGATGATACAGGGTCTAATATGCTGGTGGTGCTAGTATTCAGTGAATCGTTACAAGTGGAGCCCATGTTTGTCATATTTTGCAAACCGCCAGCGTTTCGGATAGTCGATATCGACATTCGCAAATCTGATGCTTGAGATTTTATCCAATCCATTATAGTACGGGTCCAACCGTCATCATTTGCTGCGAGATCTGCGACCTCTGAAAAAGCCCGACACATGTCATCATACCTCAACTGTTCGGGGGTACTCACCAATCCATCATAATTTACTGCAACCCTTGTGTGTACTCTACTGACATCTCTTCTCCACCTCCTGAGTATGTACCTATCTAGCATCGTCGTAACGTCATTACGAATCAATATTGCGATCGCATGCCTGCAAATGATTCCTTGAAACTCAAATAGGTGACAACTACAAATCAACTCGCATGACTCCTTTCGAAGTGACACGTGAAAAGTTTTCTTCTTCGTATGCTCCTGATATACAACATGTTCCCGCACATCGTAGGTCGTCCAAAAATGATCATTCGTATTTTCAGATATGATGTCACAGTATACTTTCCCAATGAACTCTTGTTGAACTTCCTTGAACTTCGGAATGGTGTATACTGCTTGAAATTGTTTTTCCATTTCAAATGTCGTTGCACAGGACACCATTTGGGAAAATGACCTGAAATCGGCCTGGAACTCTTTCTCAACTTTACTTCTCAGTGCTCTTTCATATTGTTCCACGAACTGCTTCAACGAAGTCTTTGAATGCACGTACCCATCGAAAAATGCATTCATACTCTCAGATCATTGGGTTGCTGACATCCCTGCCCAGAATGTAGTCTTCAAATAACATGGAACCCATCGATTCCTATTCTCATACAATCTCGATAACCAATCATTATCATGTAAGTCATATGTATCAAGCATCGATCTCCAACCTTCTTCGAATTCGTCAACAATATCTGAGTCATACACCAACCCATGTATAGCGGCAAAAATTGAGCTCTTTTGACTGTGGTAGCCAAACTTTTCTGGCAGTTTCTTCATAATGTGCCAAAGACACCATCTGTGCTTCGTTTTCGAAAAAACTATTTCAATGGCATTTTGCATTGCCCGATCTTGATCAGTAATGATCCCTCTAGGTGCTTCACCATGCATGCACTCAAGCCACGTCTTGAATAACCACACAAAAGTCCCTGTTTCTTCATTCGATAACAACCCACAACCGAGTAGTGTACTTTGTCCGTGATGATTCACCCCAACAAAGGGGGCGAAGGGCATGTCGTACTTATTTGTTATATACGTGGTATCGAAAGTGACCACATCACCAAATTCTTTGTAAGCTTGCCTACATCTGTTATCTGCCCAGAAAACATTCTTTAGTCGTGACTCACCATCTAAATCCATACTAAAAAAAAATCCTGAGCACCTTGCCTGCATCTTTGAAAAGTACGCCTGTAATGCAATGGCATCTCCTTCTCCAAGGCGTAATCGTCTCTCTTGGTCAACATAGTTCCGACAATCTCTCTCCACAAAAGTCGTATTCTCATACCCCTCTGCTTCCACAACTGTGGAGTTGTAGCTCTTGTGTAAGGGAATTCCTGCCATATCATTCACTTGGAGTTTTCGCTTCACACTCGCACTCAAAATTCGATTGCATCGGTACAATCTAGACTTTGAAAGACTTGTCTTATGATTATGATCAAGGTACACTTTGTTAATTCTCCAAACTTCAAGATTATCTAAGGACGCAGATATTCTTGCTTTGCAATCAGTCTGACTTGTTGGTTGCGGCTTCAATGAACCGCCTGTAGCATAATTCCTTCGCCCTTCGCGACTACATGTGAAAGTCACGTATCTCATAACTCCATCATCACCTTTTTTCGAATTGGAAAGCCTACAGCGTAAGCATATCTTTTGTAGAACTCCAACATTTCTTTCTCATCATTAAACATCATGCCTACCTCAGGCTCAGAGGCAACATCTCCTGCTACATTTTCATTGTCCAATATGTTCAAATTATGCTGGATAATCTCGCTGTCACAGTCAGCCAACACATCTTGATTCTCATCTTCCATAATTCCTTTTCCTGAATAGAGTAAAAAAATGAGAGATTTATAAGTACAGAGATAATCAAAAATATATATGTACAGATATAATCAAAATTGCAATATCACGTACAGCCAAATTCATATCGAATCAAAGCCCATTCTACTCAATTTAATTTGAATCCCAATATTTGAGACACATCATTTTTGAAAACCCAGGTGGTTTCTCTATATGATTAAACCATTGAAAGAGGTTAATTTAGTGTGATCTTCATGATCTTTAACCACGAAATTTTATGGGAATGTGAATTAGCAGGGAAATAATAAAACAAATTCAGCACGAATTTTCATTTAGCAGACAGTTAAAATTTCTAAAATTTAGAAAAGACTTCAAGATCATTTCGACTATGGCAGATTACGCTTGGTAAGTTATGTTTGGTATCTTCTTATTTTTCAAGTTTTTCCCTACTATTTCTTATTTAGCCATGTTTGATACAACATAAAGCAGGGAAAACTCCTTCAAATGACGCAACCCTTAATTGCTGCCCCTGTAGTTAATTAAAACTCAACATAAACCAGGGATTACTCCTCCTCCATTGCTGCCCACTTAATTGCTTACCCACCCAATCAAGCAAAAAAGTAACCATACAACGAAACGCACAAACGGGTAAGAATTTATGTAAGTAACATTTATATTTTCTACTGGACAAAAACTCGAAATCAACGAAGATGCAAGAATGAAACGAGTAATAAAAAGGGATTATTATCTGGGTAAAGGGAAAGAGGGTTTGGTGACTGCAGATTTTGGACTCATTGACAACCCAACAAAGAAGATGAAACAATACCTTTGTCTGCCATTTTGGGTCACTGAAGGTTTTGGAGTTCTTGATGAGAATGGCGTCGGAAAATGCTCGAAGATGCGCCGGTCACTTCACCCAGAATTTTGGTTGGACGACACGGGTGAGTCGTCAGTGGCGGGAGTCGATGCCACTTTTGGGAGAATGCTGTGCCCTCCCGCGTTTTTGTTTTCTTGTTTTTGGGTTTTTGTTTTTTTTTAAGTCTGCCACGTCATCAAAATTTGAAAATCTGTATTGCGCCTGTAATGGCTTCCTGTACTTATATCACTGCTCATAATGCTATCCAGCATTTGATCATGTGGCATCATGTAATAGATTTAATAAAAAGTTAAATTACGTGATTTATTTAATTGTACATTTTATTTAATGATATTTAGTATCATTTAGACTAATGTTATAACTCTAATAATGCTAAATAGTATTAATCTTCCTAAACTAAAGTCTTCAGTGTCCTAAATTTATGGGTGGTAATGGTAAATGTTTGAGCTTGCTCAGCTTCCAATTCCTAAAGCCTATTTTTTAAACATCATCATTAATTAGGGGGAAAAATTCATAACTAAGAGGTTAAAAATCAGATATTTATTAAAATTTATTTATGATTTAGTTAATTAATTATATATTTTATTAATTAATATATTAAAGACACGGATCTATATAATTTGATCATAAATTAACGATTTAGTCAGTCACATATTATTTTTCGATCACAAATTAGAATTTTTATATATTACAAGTTATTTTACGGTCATAAATTATATGTCACAATTCATTTATCAGTTATAAGTCATAATTTATTTATTAGTCACAAATTACAAATATTATAAGTCACGACTTATTATACAGTCATAAATTATCAAATTGTCGATCACAAATTATCAATTTTTTAAGTCACACACTATCTAATGATCACAATTTACTTTTTCATTGGTTACATATTATTTATTGATAACAGATTAACCACTTTGATAGTTATAGACAACGAAATAATTTGTGATCACTACCAACACTTGCGACCATCATCTTACAGCTGCCTCCAACAGCAACAATAGCACCATCATCATTGCCAAAACAACCACCACCACCTTAAACAAATTAGCATATCGTAGAAAAAACACCATCACATCGTCATGCCAGATCCATCAGCATGAAAAAATTTATTACAGTCACTGCCACGATTGCTACATTCACAAATTGGGATCCTTTTCGCCACCACCACTACCACCTGAACCAAAAATCAGTGATTTCAATCTCATCTCCACCACCACACCACCAATAGTCCCCATCTCTACCGCACTCCACCACCACGACCAGCCAAAAAATTCTCAAACCTACTATCATTGTTGTAGTCACCACCACCACTAACACTATTACTGCTACCAATCTACAACCACAACCACAGTAATCACCACCACCATCTCCATCACATTCGCGACCACCACCACTATCACCCGAACCAAAAATCACCAATTTAGCCCACGCCGCTACCACCTCAACCACCACACCAACAAAATCCCCTATCTCTACCACACCACAGATTCAACCCTCATCACCAACACCATTGTACATCACCATCATATTGTGCGTCGCAGTGGATGCAAACAACAAAGATCTATAGGGACGAAGTCGTTGTAGTGGCAATGCACTGCTTGATTTGCTGTGTAGGCAATAGGCACGTAGATCGCTGTTGACAATAGTGATCGGGCTCATTCAGTGTTGCTTTGGCATTTGTTGACGACGACAAGGTAGAGAGAAGGAGAATAGAGTGAGAATGGATTGAAAATGAGGAAAAAAATAATATTAGGGTTTGGCATGTGGGTATGTAATTAATTGCAGGGTCGGCCTTAGCATAAGGCAAACAAGGCAACTGCCTAGGGCCTCTGATTTTTTGGGGCCCCTGATTTTCTAGCCTTGTCTGGTAGATGCCATTGTTGCAGCAGTAGAAGTTTCTGTATTGCAAGTTGAAGACGTTGAAGAGAGGTCATTGTTGAGCCTAAATATTATTTTTCTTTGGACTTTTTTTTTTTTGAAACATAGGCTCATATTGATTAACAGTATATTATTCATAGCCCATATAGGCTACCCGATATACCTCTTAAGAAGTTAAGAATTGAACAAAACCAATTGCAAATGAAACCTATTTGTTGTTGTTTTGTTTCGATTTAACATGGATACGCCATTGGGGAATTTGTCATCTGTGGTAAGTTGAAAGTTTAAACTTGATCATAGTCCCAAGACTCCCAACCTTGTTCTCAAACGGTTTAATTTATGTTTAACGTGTTATTTACATTTAATTTTCATAAACATCCTCAATACTTTGACATCTCCATTCAGAGTTGTAGATTCGTTCGCTCTACTGGGATGACCTTTTGGGTGAATGATAAAAAGTCCAATGGTATATAGTCCAACGATAAAAAATTGGATTACGAATCTACAAAGTTAAAATTTTAGCAAACTTACTATGGTGGGTAAATTTTCATGGAGAAGTTTTTAAAATTTCATATGTACTTTTACTATTTACTTTTTCAGCAAACTAACATCCTATGTATCTATTTTTAAGTAGCGGTCATTTTGTAAAAAAATTATTTTTAACACCCTACATATCCATTTTTAAAGTAGTATTACGTTTGTAAAAAATTATGCTTAAGGGCCTCATAATTATTGGTTGCCTAGGGCCTCAAAATTTTCTAGGCCGTGATTAATTGACTTTTATAATATTATTATTTAAGATTAAATGTTGTTTTATTATCTGATTTTTGTATATATAAACTATACTCCTGATTTTTGAAATGCAATCTTTAAAAGTAAGCCTCCATGTAATTTTCACTTTTAATTAATTTTTGGAAAATCGACTCAAACATTGGCCCAAAAAAGAGAGAGAGACAAGGTTCAGAGGGTCAAATCGAAGTTGATCCAAGCCAAACAAAACAATATAATTAATTAAAAGTTCGTATATATATATATATATATATATATATATATATATATATTCCCTATTAAAAATTTATATCAACTAAAAGATTATGGGGGTGTTTGATCCACATTATTTTGGTAATAGTGTATTCTTCAATAGTGTATTGATGAGAAATGTGTGGTTAAAAAATAAGGAAATTTTTTTGATTTGCGTGTAATATTATTTTATTGAAGAATGTGTGGTTGAAATGATGTCAAATTACCGTTTAAGAATGCATTTTTTTAAAATAATGTGGCTCAAACAGGACCTATATATTTCAATAATTATTTTAATACTCATTTCACAACAAATTATTGCTAAATGGGCCAAAATAAAGCTAAAACAATCGGGTCGCCGATTTTCAGTTGCACGTTCGATTTTCTAGTTTTTTATCCAATTTTTATGCATACGGGTTATAAGCATCAATCAGAGTTATCAGACCAATTATCATTCCGGTTCCGATCGAAACGATTGATCCGGTCCAATTTTTATGACATTGTTTTCAATCATATATTTAATTAATTTTTTATAAAAATTTATTCAAAAATCTTATTTTTGTCTAGACCAAACACGGGCTTAGTTTTTTTCTTTTCTTTTCTTTTTTTAAATAAAAAAAGTAAATTTAAATCGAGTTTAGAGGATGCTTTTAGAGGTTTTCAACAAAAACTGCGGGGGAAATGGGTTAGCTTTTGGACCTACGAGCCTACTAGCTTGCCCAAAGAGCCTGCTCGTTAAACCCGTGTCGTGTCTTCATGGGCTGGGCTGCTAAGCCACCGAACACATTACCATCCCCGCTTAACTTTTACTTGTTTTGTTCATTTCTCTCTTCAACAGAGAGTCGGGAAGTTCCTCTTCACAGCTACATGAAATTACTTGACCTTCCCGATCGGCCCATCAGATTGGTAGGCTTGTAAAAAAGGGAGGGAATGAGTGTAAATTTGAGTTAGGTAGGCATTAGGTTTTTATTCAAGAGCCCATTCATAAATGAGTTATGCTACACGACACCGC